CCCGGACCGGGATAAGACAGGCGGATGTGAGAGAGATATTTTCAAGTGGGCGAGGGCTTGCTCGCATTCGGGCGTCCACTCGAAGGCAGATTCCTAGCGTGGGAGTTTGAACAAGGGAAGCGCGTGCTGGGCGGATTTTGCCATGAATCGGGAAAGAGAAGTGAGCATGCCGTTTAAGATCTGGATGGATTTCTTCGAGGTGGGCGTCGGAAACTCGAAGAAGGCTCGACATTTGTCGGGGTTCGCCTCGATGCACTAGTTCTTTTAGATAGAATGCGAGGAACTTTCCTGCCCATACGCCGAAGGTGCATTTTTCAGGATTGAATCGCATCTGGCACTTTCGGGCTTGTTCGAACACCTTTTTCAAATGGGCGGCATGGTCGAGCTCTTCGGTGGACTTGACGATCATGTCGTCCATATAGACTTCGAGCATGTCGCCTATCTCGTTGCAAAAGACTTTGTTCATCATATGCTGGTAGGTAGCGCCCGCGTTCTTCAGGCTGAAGGGCATTGCGTTGTAGTAATAATTACCCGACTCTGTCATGAATGCGGTATATTTTTTATCTATTTTTGTCGTGGGAATATGGTTGTAACCAGAGCATGCATCCATGAAAGATAATAGTTTGGACTGGCCGAATTGTCGACCAGTTTGTCAATATTGGGGCGGGGATAAGCATCTTTCGGGCAAGCCCGTTTGAGATCAGTATAGTTAATGCACATTCGCCATTTTCCATTAGATTTTTAACGAGGACTACATTGGAGAGCCAGGTTATGTACTGGGCTTCAGAAATAAAATGTGCCTATAGGAGGTCTTTTACAACTAATTCAGCAACGTGTGACTTCTCAGTCGACTGCTTTTTTCTGTGCTGCACGACTGCCTTGATGGTGGGATCAATGGTCAGGTGATGGCATGCGACCTCGGGGTCTAAATCGGGCATCTCGGCCGCACTCCAGGAAAAGAGATCAACATTCTCATACATGCAAGCTTTGAGTTTCCTTTTAGCCAGGTCGGGGAGGTCCGCTACGATCTTTACTCCCCTGGTGGGGTCTTCTCTGAGGAGAACCAGCTCGAAGTCTCCGTCCGGGATAGGCCGTGCGTGACCTGAAAGCTCGTTGTGGCCAGCAGAGGAGGTTGGCCCTTCATCTTCAACCATAGGCTCCTTCCCCTTCTTCCTTTACTCGACCATGTCCTCCACGGAGAAGCGACTGTCGAGGTCAATGGTGTCGACCCTTGGCAGTGGCCTAGATTCCTCGGAGCTGGAGGGCAGCATGGCTCGAGTGGTTGTTCGAGGTTGGGCGTTGATGGAGTTGAGTCCCTTCGCAGAAGCTTCGAAGCATCTCCTGGTTGCTTGGATGTCCCCGTGAAGAGTGGCGACCAAACCTTCGGCTGTGCAGTATTTCATCTTGAGATGAACGGTGGAGGGGACCGCGGTGAGCTCGGTGAGAGTGGGTATCCCGAGGATGCATTGATAGAGGGATGGGAAGTCCACCACCAAGAATTGGGTCTTGATGGCTCTGGCTGTTATCCCTTTCCCAAAGGTGACAATCAGCTCCACGTACCCCCATGGCTTCGTGCTGACCCTGTTGAAACCTTGAAGATCAGAGCCCACATAGGGGGTTAGGTGGCTCTCGTTCAGCTGCAGAGTGTTGAATAGTTGGGCATACATAATGTCAACCGAACTTTCCTGGTCAACCAAAATGCGACGCACGTCGAAGTTAGCCATCTAAGCTCTCACGAGTAGTGGGATGCTCGAATTCGGGGATCCTCCTGGTAACTTTTCCCTGTAGAATGCGAGGGGGCGAGATCCTCCTCGTAACTTGTCGAGCATGGTGTCCATCTCAGAGTTGGCCTCGATGAGTTAGTCGAACCTTCTCTTGACTAATCCGATTGTATGCCTGTTGAACCCTCCGCCGAAAATGACCATGGCCGCAGGGAAGGATTCCCAAGGACTGTGGGTGGAGAAGTATAAGGGGACGTTCTCCATGTCTGAAAAGTAGAACTCTTCTAGCCGTGAGATGCTCAAGGCGACCGAAATGGTGTCGAGGTCGGGGGATTTCTTCCCTTCTTCGACATTCTTTGTCGCTGGTGCTTCGTCACGAGCGGCCTCCTTTTTCTTATACTACTTTAGGTGCCCGTCTCTGATTAATATTTTGATTGCATCCTTGAGATGGATGCAATCCTCTGTGTTGTGGTCGTGACTCTTGTGGAACCTGCAGTACTTGCTCTTGTCGGTTCCTGCCTACGACGGTGTTTGTCGGGGGAAGCGCACCCCAGCTTGCTTGAACTCTGAATTAGCGCATTCGGAAAGAATACTCTCTCTTGAGGTTGTCAGGGGGGTATAGTCGTGAAAACGACTAGCCGGCCCCTTGTAGTCTTTAGGATCACGGGACCTGTCCTCCCGTTTCTTCTCCCCCTGACGGGATGTCGAGGGCTCGTCATTCTTTGAGGGTATGGCACTCTTTTTGTGCCTGGATTCTCGGACGTTGTTAGTCGTCTCCTTCTCCTCATACTGTATGTACGCCTGAGCTTCCAAGAGAAGGGAATCAAGCGTGGCTGGTGTTTCTATGCCCACAACCTTGGCAAAGTCGCTGCGGGGACGAAGCCCGCGCTCGAGCAGGTATTTCTTCATGTTGTCCGTTGTCGGGATCTGAACCGCTTCTTTATTAAAGCGCTCAATGTACGCTTGCATAAATTCGTCTTTGCCTTGTATGTTTGCCTCAAGCGAAGCTTCTGATTTAGGATGTCGGCAGGAGGCAGTGAAATGTCTTGAAAACATCTTCCTGAGCTGTTTCCATGAGGTGATGGATTCGTCGGGCAAACTTTTGTACCATGTCGTTGCCCCTTTCCTGAGACTAGTCGGGAAGAGTCTGTATTTGATGGCGCCCCTGACCCCTCTATAGTCGAGGAGCGCGTCGATGTTCTCAATATGCTCGTCAGGATCCGTCGTGTCGTCGTAGGTCCCTAGAGTGGGCGGCTTCTCTAGGTCGACGGGGAGTGGAGCTTCAGTGATCTCCCTGGATAGTGGGCCGTGGGGCTCGTCATCTTCACTGTTGACGAGAGATGGGGAAGGAGAGTGATAATTTCTCCCTCGTCGGTCGTCGCGGTCCCGTCGAGGGGAGGGGCTCCTTCGCTTTTGCTTTGGCTCGGGAGAGGGTAATCAAGCGCGGTTGATCTGCCCGTTGTCCTTCCTCTTCTTGAACGAAGGGGAGTCTTGATCTCGGGCAGGAGGTGTGCGATTGTGTTTCTTGAAGAAAGAAACATCGCACCTTTCCTTCTTGGGCGGTGGACCACGCTTGGGTGATGATGCACTGGGGAAACTTTGTCTTCGGGCTCTCAGGGGAGGAGATCTTGAACGCCGATTTTCCAAGGCTCCTGTCCTCTGATTTTATTGAAGGATGAGGGCGTTGGTCTGATTTAGGGCAGCGAGCAGTGCTGCCATGGTCGGATCGGCGTTGACGGGGATATGGATTGGTTGCAAGATTTCTGGGAGTTCCTCAACAGGATTGTTGGAACGCCCTTCGTCCTAGAGTTGATCGTCACCACGCCGGGCATCAGCGGAATCAGAGGACACAGTCTGTCCGTCACGGGGCCCAGGTTGTCCTCAAGTCGAGGGTGTTCCTGACCTCCATCAGTCTTGCGAGCGGGGGAAAAGATGGTCTTTCCGGATAGGTAGAGATCATTATAGTCGGCCATGATATGAGAGATGGATCTTGAAAGAAGAGTTGCTTTGATCTTAGGTTCTGAGGGAAGAAAGATGGGGATAACATATTCCCACATATGGAGCCACACTGGTCTTGCGGTTGATCAGAACCTGGAGAGTGGCCGAAGGATGATCTTCAGTCGGGCAGAGGAGAGAGGGGGTTGTGCCTGCAAGGTACTCCAACGATCAAGTAAGAGAGAGAGCAAGGAGGTACTAGCAAAATATCAGGTAGTGAGTATTGAGTATGTGATACCTAGCCCTCACAAGTGTGAGGGTTTATATAATACCCGTGGCGCGTGACCATTGGTTCCTGATTTTCCGCCTAGATATGCGGGTCTGGAAAATTAGGTAACTGCCAGGACTTGGTCAAACCGGGCAGATGTGCACGTAACTAGCCGTTGGTCCCGAGGGAGAGCTGGTTACGGGCATCCCCCTGGTCGGTTCCTGGAGGCCCGCACGACGTTGGTGTCAGGTAGACTGAGGAGACAGTCGAAGGGCATCTTGGGTTGGTGCTGGGTCAGAAGGGCAAGAGGGGAGGCATTGCCCGACACGTGCGGGATTGACATGCGCAACGACTAGCAGTTGACACTTATAAGATTTCTTAGACTGAATCCAATCAAACTGTCGGGTCAGTCTAGAACAATATATATATATATATATATATATATATATATATATATATATATATATATATATATATATATATATATATATATATATATATATATATTCAACAAAAACAAGTAAAAAAAGAAGAAGATAATAATGTGAATGCGAAGAACCATGTATCATAAAATAGAGGAAACACTCGTACACTAATTACATAAATATCTAAACGAGACAAGTTTTTTTAAAGTTAATTTAGTGTTTTTTTTTTTTTTTCCGTCAAATAACTAAAATTTAACTCTTTATAATTAAATAAGTGAAATATCATGGATTTGAAAGTAAACCATTTACCCTCTTTGAAGAGTTGAAGAACCTAAAGAGAAAATATAAAATTAATCTCTTAACTATTATTAACATATCCTTGACTAAATTTCATAAAAGAAATTGTATTCTATGGCCATAGGTAAATTTTCATCCCAAATACCAACAAACAAACGCAATAAAATAAAAAGTTTTTACACATTAGGTTAAGTAAGAGTAGATTATTTCACTTTTAAATGTTAGGATTTTAATTTCCTTTTCCCAGCACGACACCGTATCAAGTAGAGGTTTTCCGTTCAGTTTCTTCGAACCCTCGTCACTGATCAGTTCTTCTCTGGAAGAAGAAGAAGAAGCCATACGATTCAAACAGCGATGCCTCGGTACTCTTTTTCTTCGCAATTTCACCTTAATTCAATCCTTCACATTTCCCATTAATTCACTCATTCATTTGTTCCAATTCGCAGGTACTATTGTGACTATTGCGATACCTATTTGACCCACGATTCTGTAAGTTTCAAAAATACCCATTTAGATATCATCAAAATCTCATTTTTCGCTCATTCCCAAATCTATTCTTCTCTTATTTTTTGTTTTGAGATTGTTTAGCTCATACTGTACTTGATTTCTCATTGTGTTTAGGGTTAAGTTTTTTTTTATATAGATTTAATTTCTATAGAACAATAACATGGTTTAGGTTTAGATTTTAATTTCATGAAAAGTTGTTGTTATTGTTGGCCACAAAAACTACATATTTTCATGTTTATGACAATTTTTTTATTTGTTTGTTTCAGCCATCTGTGAGAAAGCAGCATAATTCAGGTTACAAACACAAGGTACTATGAAATTTGAAATACTATATGTTTTTTTTTGTAATCTTCACACATGTTATGAAAAGTAGCAAGTGTTATAATGTGTCCATTTTGTGTATGGATGTGTGAAACTCTGAATTCTCATCTCCTAAGACAAATTAGTAGTATTCATTTTTATTTCTCAAAGGGAGCTTATATTTAGAGATTGAGGTAGTGTTCACGTTTGTTAAGATAAGTGCTCTCTACATTGTATTTGTGATGTTTATGACTTTCTTTTAATTGTTTCAGGCAAATGTGAGGTCCTACTACCTGCAATTTGAAGAGCAACAAACACAAAGTTTAATTGATCAGAGGATTAAGGAACATCTTGGGCAAGCTGCGGCGTTTCAGCAAGTTGGTGTAGCTTTTAACCCCATGATGGCTCAAAGGCCTTCTATGCCCATCTTGCCACCACCAAGATTTCCAATTCCTGGAAGTGCACCAGGCGTTGGTGGTCAACCACTATATCCAGGGATGAGACCTCTTATGCCAAGGCCAGGTCCCATGGGTCCAGGTGAGTATCGTCTCTACCACTCTTCTGCAATTTTCATTGAAGCATTCGTTTCCTGTATTTGGCATGCAGTTATAGTTTATTCTTTTATTCTGTTTACCTCAAATGTTTTTTTTTTAATGATATTGTTTACCCCAAGTGTGATTTTGAGTATGTTATGGTTCACTGTAAATTACTTAACTGGCTTCATTTTTTCTTGAAAATTGTGCCTGTAAGCATTAACAAGTAGTTGTTTTATTCATGTGGTGTAACTGGTTTCAATTGGAACTTGCAGGATATTATTCTGCACCTGGCATGCCACCAACTTTACCTCCACCCGGCGCCCCCTTGATACCTGGTCAAGCAAATACCCTACCCAGGCCCCCGACACTAGCTCCTCCGCCGATGGTTCCTGGAACCAATTCATCAGCGCCAGCCTCCAATGGTGCTCCTCCCATGGTTTCATCAGCAATGTATCCAACCAGTTCATCAGCACCATCAACCGGAGGCTATGAAAGTTACAATGCTAACGCTCAACCACCATCAACTGGAGGCTATGAAAGTTACAATGCTAACGCTCAACCACCTGAAGGCAATCACTAATCTGTCCAGCTTAGAATGCTATTTTGTATGGAATTACCCAAGTACAATATTTGTTCCATAAAGTTTCATAACTTGTTCTTAATGTTTCTATTGGTAACTCGCAGAGAGTTGAGTATTTGCATAGATTCTCACATTGGCTGCATTCCAGATTTGTACCGCACTGCGTAATTCTATGTCTGCCATGGCCCATGGGAGTTCTGATTATATCATTTTATGCTCTTATCAGCAGTTGATCAAATGGGGGCCCTTATCTGCCATCTTATCTTTGTAGCAACAATATTTTATATTTTATTTTTGGAATGTAGCTTATCAAGCTGTATGAATGGGAGGAAAGATTGTACGAATTACTATTCCTGGGTGAAAGAACTTGTATTGAGGTACTAGTTGCCTAAAATTTTCATATCAAGAGCCATAAACACAGTTTGTGACATATGGCTTTGTTAAAAATTACTGAAAACTGATATTAAGTATTGTTGTTTCTCCTAAAGTTTATGGATATAATCATGTGTTTTTTCTGCGATGAGTTCCTTTTTTCATAAAACATGTTTAGTAAACGGTTGAATACCTGGAATAGTTTAATCTAATGGCAAAGGTTCTGCCACCAGCTGTTCTCCTCGATAGAGAATTTGTAAATACCACTGTCAGCTCAAGGCTAGTACCCATAGTAGTACCTTGCTAGTGGCAGAACTTAGGACATAAGGTGGCCTGCAGCCGCCATAGCCACACCCTACTTTTGTAACTCTGTTCCATTTGCCCGACTTGTACTCCGCCGCCTGGCTGTGCAATGCTCTTTTTCGTGCGCGTTTGTCTGTGTGAATTTTTGACCCCTTCACTGCATGCATGTCTTTGTTCGTCTAGTCTCCACTGTGTGCGTCTACCGCCATGTAGTTTGTCTGTCGCCGTCTCTGTTTGTCCCTCAAGGCTCAATAAGTTTAACGCCCCTTTATCAATTTTCTATGAGAGTTGGGCACTTATCTGTTGTGCATTAAATTGATATTTTGTCGATGGCTTCTTTGCTGCTGGGTACTTTGACGCTACTGTATGAAAAGAGATGGGTATTTTTTCTGGTTTTGATGTATGAAATTTATTTGTTACGCTGCAGATATCATCTTTACTTTGATGCTTATGTATGAAATTGAATTGTTGTTCTGCTGTATGAAAAGAATTTGATTGTGGCTGGGTGGATGGATGTTTTGTTTGTGTAACGATTCATGTGGTTCTGGTGTGGTTATCTGTAAGATGATGGTTCTGATGCTCATGTTATTATATGAGAGATGATGGTTTAGTTGGTATGCGTATGTTACTATATGACCATGTCTGTTATTGTCAATGGAATGAAACGATCATTTGCCATTTGAAAACTGATAGGATTGATCACTATACTTGGATATAGACCGGGCATTAAATATTGCGCTTAAGTTCCGGAAATTACCATAGGCTCGATGAAGTAGTTAAGCTATGTTTTTGGAGGTGTGTTAAATTGATATCATCAAAGAAATTTGTTGTTGATTTTGTGGTTTTTCTGCTACTTGATTGCAGTGTTTTCAATTTATGTTTATGCTGTGAATAATATTGTAATAATTTGTATGTGGCGATTTAGCCTGATAAGGAGTTTTCTCCATGGATAAAATTCTGTCAACAATTTGTAAAGGAGTCATTCTTGAGAAATTAACATCTCATTTCCCAAATTATACACGACACTTCTAATTTTTTTTTTTTAATTTCAGAATTACTCTTGTTGAGTTACAAACAAATTTTCAGATAAAATTTTCGATAAAATTATTGAAATTTTCGGTACATACAAAAATTTCGGTACACTCCAACAAAATTTTCGGTGTATGTAAATTTCTGGTAATGTATTTGAAATTTCCGGTGTTTCAGAAATTTCAAATTTACTAGGTAGTACCGGAAATTTGAGTTATACTGAAATTTCTGGTAGTTCATTTATTTAATTTTTTTAACTGTTGAGATTTTGTCGATATCTTTAGAAGATTCGGATTGCACCGACAAATTTGTATGGTCTAAAATGCATCGTCATTTGTATAAATAGAGACATATGCTACAAAGAAAAACATCTCAAACAATGTCTCTTCCTTAATTTTTGATTAAGGCAGAAGTATATTTCAACGGAAATAACTCTGCTGTTGAATTCAAGCTTCTAGATGACACCACATCCTTCGACAACTTGAAAGACAAGTTGAATGAATAGGTGCCTGATTCCAATAACAAAAGGGTGACAAAGATTGAATTTCGGAAGGATTGAATTGATACAAATGGAAAGGTGGAATACAACCTGATCGAGTTGAGGAATGATGAAGATGTGAAGATCATGTGGAAATTATTTCGCCGTAGGATAACTAAAGGTCTGATCGAGTTGGATGCAGAGATTCGAAGATCTGTCGACTGAAGGTCCATAAATGTGAGGAAAGTGCTCGTATATTCAACACTGCATAAATAAAAACAATCGTATAAATACACCCAAATAACTAATAAGAACCGTCAAATAAATTATAGTATACTAGTATAAGACTAAGTTAATCAGCAAGATGTCTAGTCTCAGGCTGAGAAGCAACGTCAAGTATCGTGTACAACATGGTCAACATCGTCACTCTTCAAGCCTAACATCGACTGTCAAGTGTGCTGAACAGAGACAGGTAGCGAACATCAATGTAAACTCCGGACTTGTCCGCAAAGGGAGTACATGCCATCAGATGTAGCATGTACGTCATAGCAGCAACCTGATACCTATGGTCCTCCACGAGCTCCACGTACAATTTCTTCAACCAAGACACCCGAAGGTGAAATCTTCTGCTGGGCAAAACTGCGCCTGCTGCTCAGCCATCCGTTTCCGGTGAGAACCATCGGGGGACGTCGCTCAGCCCGGACTTGAGTTTCTGCTCTATCGACCATTCTACCCGCAACAGAACCATCTTTGCCTCTGGTTCTCACTGAAACATTTAAAAAAAAATTAGGAAAATATGTATTATCGGAGTTTCCTAAAATTTTCGATATTTTTCAAAAAAAAGTGTATTACTGGAAATTTAAAATTTTCTGGTACATGCTGTTAAGTTCCTGAAATTTCGAAATTTCTGGTACAAAAGATATATGTATTACCTAGAAATTTCAAAATTTCTGGGTCCAATATACCGGGTATTTTGAAATTTCCGGTATAAAGTATCAAAAATATCACAAATTTATCGTAAATTTCTTGCTTGTTCAGTAAATTTCGGATATCGCTTTTACATTTCGGGTATCGTCCAGGGAATTTGAAATTTTCGGTATGGTACCACATATTTGAAATTTTTTAAATATTTTTAGATTTGGATAATTTTATCTATTTATATCTTTTGGAGGAGTGTCATGTATAACATGAGAGTGAGATGTTAATTCCTGATCATTCTTACATCCTGAACGATAATAGTATTACGGAGGTAGTACTATTATCATTCAGTGCATTGGGTGCGTGTTATTGGATTGCCATCATCAAAGGAGGGTTGGGGGGGTGATAAAAAGGAAAAGAGGGTAGTTGGAGGGATGAGTCAGTGGCAAAGAAGTTATCACTAGATGTTTGGAGTTTTTGTATATGTATCTGATTCTAGTAAAATTTATGCATGTATCTGATACTAAGGAACAATAGCATATGGGATTACTGTCCTGAAATTTATGTTGGTGCTATCACAATAAAAAGAATTGGTCGTTACTTAATTGTGGGAGCTTGGTTTATCGGTTGCAAGAGAAAAACAAGGAAGTGGAGGGTACATGAGGTATGGTTGCTGTCAAGGATTATGACAGGCTAGAATCATTAGGTGAAGTTTATTTTGGCATAGTGGGAATTGGGAACCAGTTCTGGTGTTTGATTAAATGGACAGTTATATCATAATGTTTGGGTGAGTTTTTTTAGCTATAAAAAATGACAATGTTAAAAGAATAATAATAGTAACACACTTTCTAACAATTTTCTGACACATTTTATTCTAGTTGAACTTTATAGATCAATAAAAATATATGTTAGAAGAGTGGTAAATTTTCATCTTATATTGAAACCATCCAAGAAATTTGTGAAAAAACAAATTTCTTAATACACTTTTTACTATTTTAATGCACCATGTAAAAATATTTAAATGTCCTTAAATTTTAGAGATATATCTTCGGAACGTACTGAGATGTAATAAAATATAAATTTTTTTGGAGTTACATTTTCGATATCAAACCGATAGTATATTTTCAAAATAATGCTTTACAGAATGCAGAAAAATATACATCAACTTCACAAAATTAAAATATCATTGATATCATAAAATAAACAACACATAAGGAATTTTAACATGGATCAAACATTACACTTCAACATCCAGGTAGATGTTGCAATATTTTGATAATATCATCAACCGATCTCGAAATAGTCACATGCAGCTCGATCAAAACTTTTGATTCTAAGCGGATAAAAGTATTCCACATAGCCCGTAAATCAGCGCCCGTCTTCAACTCATAGTTGATGAACTCAAGTTTCCCTTCATTGTCAATGGATGGCGAGCGGTAATCAATCTTCACAATTTTACGATTGTCACCATATGATAGAAGGTTCTGCCATATGTATTGCAGATCTTCAAAAGGAGTGTACTCGTTGGTCTTAAATTCTCAGAAGTATATTCCCGGTATTAGCGTGATTTTCCCCCCATGAAAAACCATATTAATATGATGAATGAGGGTTGAAATGAATGAACTTTACCTTAAATTCCACTTTCTTTAGCTCATTTTGATATGATAAACCACAAGAATGAAGATTTTGAGTGAAAAACTTAATTGAGAATGTAAGAGTTTTTGAAAAGGGTTTATGTAAACTTTTGGAAGTGAAGATGATCATGCTAATTGCTGTTTTAATCAATTTGACTTTTGATTTTTATGAAAATACACTTCCGGTAATATCTGAAATGCAAAGGTGGTAAAATTTATAATTTCCTGCACTAATTAACCGGAGACAACTATCCGGATATAACCAG